CTCTAAGTGGAATTGCTCCCATGCAAGATGAATCTGGGTTCATTGCATTGCCACAAATAATTCTGTTTGACTCGACTAGAGCAAAACTGCTTTCATGAGAATGTACTAGTTTTATATATGTCAGGACTAAATGCCAACATCCAAAGCATGTGCCTAGGAATGCCTGTGGATTCTGCAGCAGGCTAGTTTTCATGTGGATCCCATAAGGTTTGTGGATTGGGGGGGTCAGGTACAATTTCAAATAAGAACTGGTATGAATGATCATAAAACTGATTTAAAAACCCGCTTCCATCAATGAGACAATGATGCAATGAAACATGCCTAGCAATTCACAAAATAAAGATGGATTTTTTTTTTTTTGAACAAGCCAGCTGGCCTACTGGTCAGATTCTTTCACCCTATTAATATGCATTGGTGCAGTTTGGCAAGTGCGCTGGGGCGGGCGCTTCATGACGGATCCTTCTGTGTGGGAGGGTTTAGATGGTGCTGCCAGGACCTGAGTTTCCCTTTCAGCCACTGACTCATCAGCGGCATCCTGTGACCTCATGGCCAGCCCCACCTTGCCTGCCCCAGAGGAGCGTTCTAGAGAAACGCTTTCTTTCAGTGAAACCACGTGCATGTAACTACTTCCTTTGCCAGTGAAGGAGGAACAACCGGAGTGCTTTGCTGCTCTGGACTGATATCAGGCAGCCCTGTGAACTGATGAACTTCAGTCCTCGCTTGCCAGAGCAGCTAAAAAACATGCTGACTTCTGGAGAAAGTGCTTCCTACCAGCACTTTACCCAAACGGGGTCCGAAATGGGGTCAGGCACAGCCGGGCCCTTGACAGGAGGGTGTGGCACAGACAGTCCCACGGCTGAGGGGCCGTGACAGAACAGGCCGCCCACTGGCAGGGCCCAAGCCAGGCCGTTGCCCAGCAGAGCGGCCGCTGTGAACGCTGAATGCTCCCAGCGCGTCCAGGGCGTCACGAGAACCGGCCCTTGGCTCGTCCCTGGAGAGGAGCCAGTGGCCCAGCTGAGCTGGGTGCCCCTCAGGTGCTTTCCGCTCCAGTTCCCCGCTGCCCGTCAGGCAAGGCCAGTGGGGAGTGGGGGGGGGGGAGGCCATTTGCAGAAGGAGCAGCTCGGCTGCCTCTTGATCCAACGGCGCTCTGCAGAGCTCGTCCCGCACCGGGAGCTGCCGGCTCTGCCACCGAGGTGCCCCCACACATCCGGGGCTCTTGCTCAAGGAACCTCGCTCGCCACAAGCTGGCCGCAGCGAGCGAGCGCCTGTCGCGGCACAAGACTGGTGCCACTGTGCTGCTGCTGACGGCTTGCCAAGTGCCCAGCTCTGCCCCAGACGTCTTCACGTGGCTGCATCCACGTCCAATGTCCAGGGCTAGGCCTGGAGCACCAGCACGGAGGCCTCCGTTCCCAGGAACTCGCATGACGCTGGCAGGTGGACACAGGACTGGGGAAGCCGCTGGCCCCCTCAGGGCCAGCTCCTCCTCCTGGGGGCTATGCTGCCGCACTCCTCGGCAGCCCTGAGAGGCGCAGGGGCCCTCGTTGCCCTCTGGCTTGGGGGAAAGTGCGACAGCAGGGGGCACGCGCCCAGCTGGGACAGGCCTCCCCACGCTTCTCCCTTGCTGCCGCAGCCTCCTGGTCTCGCTGGCAGTGGCGGGCTGGCTCCAGCTGCCCTCTTCCAGCAGGGTCCCTTCCTGCCTTGTCCAGGTCTTGCTCTGGGGCAGGGAGGGCAACGGCCCTTCTGGAAAAGCTCCCCCACCCCCAGTAATGTGCCACTGGCAGCGCGGGAAGACGGCAGCACCGAGCTGGGGAAGAGCGGCTAGAGCCGGGCCAGCATCCCTCGCTGGAACATCCCTCCTGGGCTGGGAGCGTTTGCACCAGGGTCAGGGGGGGGGGAGTGGGCTGAAACTGGCCTCACGCTTCTCCCCCAGCTGCTTTCCTGGAGCTCCCGGTGGCGGCCACGGCGGCAGTGTGGAGCAGGAATTGGGGGGGGGTCCAACTGGAGGCAGCACATTGGGTGCCTCCATGCCCCCCCCCCCCGTGTGTTCCTTGCTCCCTTCCAGCTGCCACAGGGCCAAATCTGTGCCTGGCTGGGCTGCAGGGGGTGCTTTGGCCCTCGGGGCAACTGGCCAAGCCATATGCTGGGGCGGCTCACAGACGCAGGACGGAGCCACCGAGCTGCCTGGAGCCGCCTCAGCGGCATCCAAAGCGATGGGAGGGAAAAGGGACACGCATGGCGTGTTTAGTGAGACAGCGTGGCGCAGTGGTTAGAATGCTGGAGGGGGACCGTGGCGGTCCAGGTCCCCACCCACAGTCCCACTGGGTGACTGTGCCAGTCATGGCCTCCCAGCTGAACCTACTCCACAGGGTTGTTGTTCTAAGGATAAAAGTGCAGAGGAGGGGAAGCTTATGAGCTCCGGAAGCTCCTCGTACGTGGAAGAAAGGCAGACATACATGCAACGCAACAGTAATGACAGGGCTGCATCCCACCTGGCCTGGCCTCTCCAGAGGAATTCCAGGCACCGTGGTCAGAATCTTCCACAAAAAGACGTTTCCATTTCGGAACAGCATCCCCTGGATGTCAGGCGGCAGCCAGGACGGTGGCGCTGCCGAATCCCCCCAGCCCCGATTCGGTTGCTGTCTGGTACTGGTCTCGCGCCCTTCCTCGGACCTCTGGCTGGGGTGAGGTGACCGGGTGGTTTTGAAAGCGGCAGGTGCATGCAAGGGAAATCCTGCAGGAAGGAACCGCACAGGAGCTGGCCTGCACTCCACGGGGAGCGCTTCCAGGGGGCAGGTGGGGCGAGCTGCCATTCCAAGTTCAATTATGCAGATTTTCGGTAGCAAGACACCAGAGCAAGGAGCCTCGGGAGCTGCCGGTTTGCAGTGCTCCTCCTGTCGGAAAGAGAGAAGCGTCCCTTCCAAGCGAGGACAGATGTTCTGCTCCACGCAGGCCGAGTCACGCATTCATTTCGCCAGGGGCTCAGCACTCAGTGGGAGCAACACGGAGGGAGCGAATGATGCAACTCTGCGCGGAGCCGCTTAAAGGGCATCGCCATCTGGGTGGTGGGCCCTGCGCCCCCTCTAGGCACTGGGAGGAGAATCACTGTGTCCCCTGGCATTGCTGGCGGTGCTTTGGCTAAAAAGCGGCCCTCCCTCCGGCGCCTTTCCCAGGTGCCATGACGCTTTCCCGCTTGTGCCTCACAGCTCCTAGCGCAGCCCTCGGAGGGAAAGGCCAGGGCCCACACGGTCGGCCCTGGGAGGCCTCTGGCAGCGGGCGGGGGGCTGCGTGATTGCATCCCGGGAAGGTGCTGCAGCCCACATACCCGTTTGGTTCAGCACTGCCCCCGGAAGGCTGGGAGTGGGAGCAGCCGAGGGCCGCCTGCCAGGAAGATTTGGCCACTCCTGGCGAGGGGGCGGCAGGAAGCGGGGAGGAGCGTTCCTCACAGTGGACAGGGAACACATTCCCATTTTGCTCACCCAGGGGAGTTGGTTGAGCTGGCAAGAGGGCCAGGCACAGCCCGGGCACAATGCCCCGTAGGGAACTCCCCCTGCAAGGAAGAGCGCGCATGAGGGCCGGCATCGCTGGGGCAGATCTGGTCACGTTCACGGAGGATGGGCTGCCAGTGGCCATGGGTCAGGCGAGACCTGCCCAGGCACTGGGGAAAAAGCGGGGGACTGCCGCTCGCCTCACTTCTGCGTAGGCAAGTGGAGGAAGCGCTCTGGACTGTCTGCAGCAGTTATACGGCCAGTGCGATGGCTGGAACAGACTCCTCTGCTGGTTGGACCAGCAGGCAGCACTGGAGTGGAACCTCCATGTCCAAAGGCAGTCTTCCTCCAAATAGCAGAAGCAGGGGCCTTGTGCCCCACTTGTGGGCTCCTCAGAGGCACCCCGATGGACCCTCCCTCCCCTTCGGATGCTGCAGCATGGGGTCTTTCGGTGGACTCGTGTTGGGGTGGGGTTTTTATGCCACGAGGATGCGGCCTGATAGTCCAGCACACTTCAAAGGCGTCAGGACTTGGCCTTTGGAGCAGAGGAACTGGTGGGACTGAGTGCTTTGCTACACGCCTCCCCTCGCAAAGGACCACAAGGGACCCTTCCTGGCTGGCTTCGTCCCTGAAGAGCAACACCATCCAATAAAGCTAAATGGATGCTATATTTAGACAAGTCGGTCGTCCTGCGAGCTGGTTCAGTCCACGAATCTGCAGCTCCTTTTAAATTACAGATGTATTCAGTTACCAAGTTGTTTACCAAGGTCCAAAGAAATGGGCTTGTTGGGCAGCAAGAGATGAAGCATTCAGTGCAGTTGGCTAAAATAATAGTTAGCACCATCTCAAAATAAGCAATGTTTGTGCCAAGCTGTTCTTCTCCCTTCTACTCCAGCCCACCGCCAACATATGGGCGGACGCCCGTCAGAGTATGGCCCATCTGCCTGGACCACCGCTTGCAGGACAGCGGTGGGCTGGCAGCCCCCGAACTGGTGCGGCCGGGGGTGCAGCTGTTCCGGGAGAAGGCCCAGGGCACCTCCAAATGCCAGCTGCAGCCACTGCGCCAAGACCGCCGGGGTCTCCAGCCGAGAACGGCCTTCTCTGCGGCCCACCGATGGACGGCCGAGCAGCTCGGCCTCTCGCCCAGCAGGCCGCCCAAGATGCGAGGCTGGCGGCGAGCCTTCCCCGGGCGGCCGCGCGCTGGCCGCGGGTCGACAGAGGGCGCCGGGCGGGCGTTTCCGCGGCTCCGCCGGGCCTCGGGGCGGCGGGCGCCCGGCACCCCCAGCCCTGC